ATAGAGTGACTACCCACTAACGTGGGATATGTCACCCCTCTCAGCATGGTATTGTTTTTTAAAAAGCAGAATTTCTTATAGGAATCTTATCGATCACACAGTAGTTATAAGAATGTCAGATATAGTGACATACAATCTAAACAAGACAGGCCGATTAAGAATGTACATAATGTAAAAATATACATATTAAAAGTTAGCCATGTAGACAGACGCATGCAGCAGTAGGGGTAGGTGATAGGAGGTTGGGGGGTGGGAGCCCATATGCAGTAATATTGCCTAATCCCAACATTATAGTAAATAATTTCCACTAACTGATACAAGTATTCCATACACATCTAAATACACAAAGGCAAATCATGACCTGCTACATATAGTCTAAAGTGGTCTGTGATCTTTTTGTGATATTTCCATGAAAATAGTTAATAGTCATGCAGGTAGTAGGAAGTATTGGTTATTCTGGTTGGACTTGGGAAATGTTTAACTTTTTGACATTAATATCTGTGAAGAGAATATATCTCCTTTTACTGCTTTCTTCACAATTGACATGCGCTTAGAGTGGGGGAATTTCAATGGTGGTTTGACCTAACAGTGATGACTGAAATACTCTTTAAAAAATGTGGTAACTTTTTAACAACATATTTTAGTCACACACTTAACATGAAACATGGATCATCTGCAGGATTCTGTAGTTTCTACCACTGTCCTAAAGAATGAAACTGATACAAGTGCTTGTTTCTTTACCAAAGCAGGCACTATTTTGAGCTCTGTGATCAGAGCATATCCAAAACAGAAGAAATGTCACTTTTTTCCTCTGGGCCTTTTGAGAAACTTGACCAAAATAAATTATTCAAGGTTCCCCCTGAGCAGTGGTGTCATCATGTATGTTACTGTCTGGAGAACAAATAAGAACTTCCTAACAGTGCAAGAGCGTTGCCTTGGGTACACTTGATAGGAATCAGGAACCTTTAACAGCAGTTCACCGTTTTCTTATTTAGCCTGTATTATGGCAAATGTGTTTGGGGGGCTATGCTTGAGATTTCTCTAGTTGGATAGAAACCCTTCAATAAGAAGTTGGCAGGTTCTGACTTACTGTCTCTGAATGCTCAAAATGCAAGTTCCTATTGGGGAAAGAACATTAAAATAACTTGAAGATCTATCTTATTGGTAAGTTAGAATGCAAAGTATTTTATTTTTAAACTTTGAAACAAGACAGCCTAGGTTAAATAATATAGTTTTCCAAAGCTGAATGTGCCTGCTTGGAGCTCAGTTTTTCTGCTTAAAGTACAAAAACAACTTTCTAAAACTCCTAGGCCAGACACTACTCTTTTGATGATCTGTGATTTAGATGAACAGATCCAATCTCAGTTGGTAACATCCCTTTTTTCCCCGTTGGTAAGGGTTTAAAAAATTCTAGAACAGATGGATTTTTCTAGTCTTACAGTGACAATTTCATTCCAAATGTCTCCTGAGAGGCGTATACCATATACAGGAATCCATCTTCATCCTTCTCACTTTCATACACTTCCGATATCGGTGTGGACACACTCACCATGCTGTGCCCATTCACTAACAGGAAGAAGGCTTGATTAGCGTTGAGCTGTAAGCGCCTTCTAATTATCTTGATGAGTTCACTCATGTTGACATGATCAGGTACAAGAAACTTGGTTTTATCCAGGACAGGAAGCTGCTTCTCACCCTTGTATCGTTCTATTATCACCGGGATTTTGGTCGGATGCTGCTCTCGGATAAGCTGACATCTTCTACTCTTTGTTCGAAGGTGCGGCGCTGCTTGAAGGTCTTCTCCGACGGCATGGCGTGCGAGGCTGGGAGCAGGCGGCGAGGAAGAGGGTCCCGCAGCTTCAGGTGGCGGAGGTCCCCACGGCGTCGACCGCGACTTCCCTTGTGTCTCTTCAGCCCGCAGCCCCGTCAAGTGACCGGCGCGCCGCCCCAGGAGGCGGGGCCAAGGGTGGACTCCGCCGCCGCCATAGCGTGCGTCTGCTTTGCAATACTTTGTATAACTCCTTCCATTCCCTTCTATCTTGATGTGTTTCTGTTGAGAAATCATTTGATAATCTGATGGGGGATCCTTTGTAGGTAACTGTTTGTCTCTCTCTCTTGCAGCCTTTAAGAGTCTCTCTTTGTCGTGTACATTTGCCATCTTTATTATGACGTGTCTTGGTGTGGGTCTTTTGGGGTTCATCTTGCTTGGGACTCTCTGTACTTGTGTAACTTTTTCTTCCCGTCATGCAGGTAGTAGGAAGTATTGGTTATTCTGGTTGGACTTGGGAAATGTTTAACTTTTTGACATTAATATCTGTGAAGAGAATATATCTCCTTTTACTGCTTTCTTCACAATTGACATGCGCTTAGAGTGGGGGAATTTCAATGGTGGTTTGACCTAACAGTGATGACTGAAATACTCTTTAAAAAATGTGGTAACTTTTTAACAACATATTTTAGTCACACACTTAACATGAAACATGGATCATCTGCAGGATTCTGTAGTTTCTACCACTGTCCTAAAGAATGAAACTGATACAAGTGCTTGTTTCTTTACCAAAGCAGGCACTATTTTGAGCTCTGTGATCAGAGCATATCCAAAACAGAAGAAATGTCACTTTTTTCCTCTGGGCCTTTTGAGAAACTTGACCAAAATAAATTATTCAAGGTTCCCCCTGAGCAGTGGTGTCATCATGTATGTTACTGTCTGGAGAACAAATAAGAACTTCCTAACAGTGCAAGAGCGTTGCCTTGGGTACACTTGATAGGAATCAGGAACCTTTAACAGCAGTTCACCGTTTTCTTATTTAGCCTGTATTATGGCAAATGTGTTTGGGGGGCTATGCTTGAGATTTCTCTAGTTGGATAGAAACCCTTCAATAAGAAGTTGGCAGGTTCTGACTTACTGTCTCTGAATGCTCAAAATGCAAGTTCCTATTGGGGAAAGAACATTAAAATAACTTGAAGATCTATCTTATTGGTAAGTTAGAATGCAAAGTATTTTATTTTTAAACTTTGAAACAAGACAGCCTAGGTTAAATAATATAGTTTTCCAAAGCTGAATGTGCCTGCTTGGAGCTCAGTTTTTCTGCTTAAAGTACAAAAACAACTTTCTAAAACTCCTAGGCCAGACACTACTCTTTTGATGATCTGTGATTTAGATGAACAGATCCAATCTCAGTTGGTAACATCCCTTTTTTCCCCGTTGGTAAGGGTTTAAAAAATTCTAGAACAGATGGATTTTTCTAGTCTTACAGTGACAATTTCATTCCAAATGTCTCCTGAGAGGCGTATACCATATACAGGAATCCATCTTCATCCTTCTCACTTTCATACACTTCCGATATCGGTGTGGACACACTCACCATGCTGTGCCCATTCACTAACAGGAAGAAGGCTTGATTAGCGTTGAGCTGTAAGCGCCTTCTAATTATCTTGATGAGTTCACTCATGTTGACATGATCAGGTACAAGAAACTTGGTTTTATCCAGGACAGGAAGCTGCTTCTCACCCTTGTATCGTTCTATTATCACCAGGATTTTGGTCGGATGCTGCTCTCGGATAAGCCGGACATCTTCTACTCTTTGTTCGAAGGTGCGGTGCTGCTTGAAGGTCTTCTACTGCATGGCGCGCGAGGCTGGGAGCAGGCGGCGAGGAAGAGGGTCCAGCAGCTTTAGGTGGCGGAGGTCCCGATGGCGTCGACCGCGACTTCCCTTGTGTCTCTTCAGCCCGCAGCCCCGTCAAGTGACCGGCGCGCCGCCCCAGGAGGCGGGGCCAAGGGTGGACTCCGCCGCCGCCATAGCGTGCGTCTGCTTTGCAATACTTTGTATAACTCCTTCCATTCCCTTCTATCTTGATGTGTTTCTGTTGAGAAATCATTTGATAATCTGATGGGGGATCCTTTGTAGGTAACTGTTTGTCTCTCTCTCTTGCAGCCTTTAAGAGTCTCTCTTTGTCGTGTACATTTGCCATCTTTATTATGACGTGTCTTGGTGTGGGTCTTTTGGGGTTCATCTTGCTTGGGACTCTCTGTACTTGTGTAACTTTTTCTTCCCCATATCTGGGAAGTTTTCTGTCATTATATCTTCAAGTAGATTTTCTAATCCTTGCTGCTCTTCTTGTCCTTCTGGCAGCCCTATAATGCATATGTTACTTCGTTTCATGTTGTCCCAAAGCTCCCTTAGGCTCTCCTCCTGCTTTTTCATTTTTTTCTACAGTTGCTGTTCAGATTGAGCTTGTTTCTCTACCTTATCTTCTAACTCACTAATTTGGTCCTCTGCTTCTTCTAGTATACTGTTGGAACCTTCCATGGTGTTTTTGATTGTAGCTATATCACTTTTCATTTCTTCCTGATTCTTGCATAGGTTGTTGATTTTCTCATCCATCCGGTGAATGAATTGTACAACCATTACTCTGAATTCTTTTTCTGTCATGTTGCATGCTTCAATTTCATTAATTTCCTTTCTTGGCAACCTCTCATTTTCTTTCCTCTGGGGATTGTGTCGTCTCCCCATTCTGACTATCTCCAGATGGTTCAAACGTCGAGTTGCGTGGGCCTGGGCCGTGTGCAGTGGGAGCTTCGCACCACCCTAGAGTCACTAAAGAGCTCTGACACTAAGATGTGTTGTTGTTGTGGGTTTGTGGGAAACAGGCTTGCTCAGAGTCAGTGTTGCCAGCACTCAATGTGGTCTCGTGCGCGCTCTTAGATTCAGGGACCCCGTCTGCACCATGCTGAAACAGAGACCCCCCTGGAAGGTGTTGAAAATCAGAGCCCCCTAGCGTGCTCCAGGAGTCAGAAGTCCCCAAGAATCCAGTATCAGGGTCTCTGTTGCTTCGTGCAGCCTTGCATTGTGAATCAGGGTCCCTGTGTGCACATGTACCATGAATTGGAGTCACTGGTTCTTAGTGCGAATGCACAGGGAGTCAGGGATCCCAGGCGCAGGTGATAAGAAACACAGTCAAGTCACTGGTGCTTGGTGCTGCCTCCTGCCAGGAGAATTGGGGTCCCAGGGCCCGTGCTGTGGGGAACCAGTTCCCAGTGTTCTCGAGTTAGCTCCCAGCCTAAGGTTCCTGTAGCCCGTGCTGCGGGGAACAAGTTCCCGGTGTTCCTGCGCTTCCAGGATAAGGTTCCTGTAGCAGCACTGAGGCCCGGGCGAGGGGTGGGTCTATAAGTTACTATGGCGCTGCCTGCGAGCCTGCGGGTAGGGGGATGGGCTCTGTTACTCACAGAGATCTGCTGCGGGGATTTCTGGACTCTTGGTGTCTGTGGGTCTGTAGCTGTGGTCGCAGGTCTCTGTCCCCAGTGGCTGCAGGGTCCTGATTTGCGACTGAGACCAGACTGGGTGGTGCTGAGGCCAGGATCCTACTCTCAAGCAGCTCTGTTTCTCAAGATGGCATGGTCTCTGTGCCCGCGCTGGCCGCCCAGGAGTGTCCGCGCAGGGAGCAGGGCTCCGCCGTTTAAGACTGCCCGGTTTAGCAGCCCCTTAGAAGATCTGCAGAATCTAACTGTCCCTAGCTCATACACACACACACCACACACGTCCACACACTCCTCTATCGCTCCCTCGCGCTCTCACACTCTCTCCCTCCCTACCTCCCTGCCGGTCGCCATCCTTCTTCTCTTATAGCAGTATTTTTGCCAATACATCTCCTAGCAGTGGTTGGCAAACTGCGGCTCACAAACCATGGCTCGTGAGCCACATGCGGCTCTTTGGCCCCTTGAGTGTGGCTCTTCCACAAAATACCGG